ACCCTCCAAATGTTGCGCTCGGCAGGCCGTGCACAACCCCCCCCCTCCTTTGAGGAAACACCAAGTCCATTTTCTGACTTTCCTCACATGGTGTTTCGGAGTTCTATGAAGCTTCAGTTCTCTGTTGTGCAGTCTCATTTTTATATCCTGACATAACAAATTCAATTGGTTTTTTTCACTGCTTAAAACTGGAAAATGCTTTACATTTGAAACTCATGCAATTTAGGTGGAGTACTTCATGGTAGTGGTGCAGTTTAAGGGACTTTTGTTGAAAAGGAGTTCATTAAAGCTGTCCTTATCATGGCCTTTCCTCACATCATTGTTTCTTACATATAAATATGGGTCACTTAAAGTCGTAACAATGCAAGGCATATCTGAAATAAATGTGCCACGTGTTGAGTTTCAAGAAATGAGTAACATTACTGGAGAGGTATTTTTAATTGAATAGTGACTCATTGCACATATGTACAAAGAGGGTCTATTTTCTGTTGCTATATTTTAATCCTGCTACTGGTTGCTAAATTTTATTTATGTAACATGGAACAATTGTCCTTTACTTCTTTTATGATTTTTTTAGCAACATATAGGTTCTTAGAAATATTGTGTGTCTGATGTTGTATGTTTGTAATGTATTTTCACGTAAATTATTTAAATGTTGTCAGGTTTAGTATAACAGCTAATTTATTTAGTTTAAACATAAAAGCAGTCTGTTTTGAAATACAGTATATTGCCAAAAACATTTAAATTAATAAATCAGTAAGAACACTCTTTAACCTGATTATTATCTTATTTATAAAGTGTGTTGGGCTTTTTCTCCAAGCAAGTCAGTGAAGCTAATAGTGTGTGTGTGTGTGTGTGTGTGTGTGTGTGTGTGTGTGTGTGTGTGTGTGTGTGTGTGTGTGTGTGTGTGTGTGTGTGTGTGTGTGTGTGTGTGTGTGTGTGTGTGTGTGTGTGTGTGTGTGTGTGTGTGTGTGTGGACACAACACATTGCGCGGCTCAGAGTCGCCTAATCCCGTGTAGAGCTGAAGATGTATAACTCGTAATCTGAGTAATCCTTTGTCCTAATACTGCCACTTTAACCAGATGAATGCATTAAAGGCTCCAGGGTTATAAGCTCTGTTGTTGCAGCGCATGGGAAGACCTCAGTTTGATACGTGGAGAAAAAATTAACTTATATTTACTTGCTTTGATTTTGAGTATAAAGGGGATAGTTTGAACATGTTGCAGTTTAATGTGATTACTTTAAACATTTAGAGAGCAGTCTATTTTAGAAAGTACCTTAAGATTTAATTTGAATGTATAGGGAATTTTGCAATACAGTTTTTGACTGATTATCGGAAATTATCAAGGGAATTTATTTGTAAAATGTAGCTTATTCTTTCTCGAAATGTGTGTATTTTCTGTTAATGTTACTTAAAAATGAATTTCAGATTTTACAGAATTAATGTTTATATAACCATAAATAAAATATACAGTATACAAATATGTATATATACTGTATATTTATCTGGTCATTTGTGTTTGTCCTACATTAAATCCCCTGCATGTTTCGCACCACAGTGGGAAGAGCACTAAAAAGTTAAAAATATAGTTAATCTTTTCTTGTAAATACTGGGTTATTTTCACTCACCAGACAAGAGCCCTGTGTGTATTTCCAGAGTCTAAGTCGGCCAGTCTGCTACCCCAGAATAACCCTGACAGGTTATTCATAACACCGCAGACCTCTCTGTTACTGGGGCAGCCACTATTATTTAGTTCAAATGACTAGGCATGGTTATTATTGGCACTTCTCCTATTAATAGGGAGAACTGCTAAAAATTGAGCAGTGTGTTTGTCCTGGGCGTGTCGCCGCCTCAGACCAGGGCTGAAGATAAACACGAGTTTGGCCTCGGCAGATGTCGGGCTGCAGCCATGTTAACTCTGTCATCTTTTCAGGGCTTTTAGATTGTGTCACATGCAGGTTGTTTATGTGTTTGGGAGCTCAGCGCGGGGATGTGAGGGGAGGCTGAAGTTAGCTGTGGACAGGCAGTAACAGGAGGAACAGTTGTCCAGCGAGGGTGTGCTGTGGTGTGGGAACAGCTGAGCCACTTGGCCCCCGCAGAGAACCAATGCTACCAGACAGCTTGGCTGCTTAATTACCTCCGTGTGTTTTTTTTATATGAATATCTGTGTGTGTTTGTGCAGAGATATGCTCATGAGTTCCCTGAACGTTTTCTCTCTCAGCCTCACACTCGTTCTCCTGTCTGCGCGTTAGCTCCCGCAGCCCTCCGCTCCTCTCAGTGTGTTACCTGCAGCCCTCCTGTCACATTTCACCCCTGCCTGCCACATTCCTAGTTATCTCAGAGGGGGTTACATACCTTTGCCCTGAGAAGCAGCTAGTAGCAAGTGTCCTGCCTTTCTAGTTGTAGGACTGGCAGGCAGGCCATCAGTCAAAACAGAGAGCCGTACACGAATCATGCAGGGCGGGAAATTAGTAAGTTTGTCTACTTTAGCAGCCCGTTTAGTTTATGTTTAGGAATTTAATAAGTAAAGATGCCCTGACACATCCTGTCCTGTTGTCATTAAAAACAATACAATACGTAAACAGTCTCTCTTTAAATATTTGTCCTTTTCCGGGAAAATTAACACCTCTGCTTGGTTTGCCTGAAGCTTCACATTATATCTGGTAAAAATATAAAACGTAACACACTTCGCTATAATACTCTGCTTTATTTGAACAGTTTTCTGCAATGTATAAACTCCATTGTTTCCAGGCTGCATATCTGGCTGTTGTTACCCATTGAACCAAACAGTGTTTTTCCTTTTTATTAGGTTTTTTTTCAAATAATTGTGAGAGGCCCAGAAATGGTTAGATATCTAGTACCGGTAATTAAAAAGTAAAGATTAAAGGACATTCTAAAATATAATCACAGTTTTTTTCTGCTGCTTTCCTATCACTTTAATGATAAAGTTGTGCTGTGTTTTTAGACAATATAAGACTTAAACTAATCTAATAAACAATAACCAATAAATAAAAGTTTCTAAAACTTGTTTTTAATGCCCAGCCAAATATAGCTACCCAGTTTTTTTATGTCCTTGCTTATCTTCTAACTTCAGATAAGACTTTTGATAACATTGGAATTGAAATGTTCAATTAGTTTACAAACACTTGTTGTTTTTAATATTTAAATTACATTAATGTTGATTCTTTTTTAAATGTTTTGTGTCTCAGATATTCAAACTCATATGGCAAAAGTTGGAGACCAATCCGATGTCTTTGTAGGATCTTTCTGTTTAAACTGTTTGCAGTAGCCAATATTAGTTACTTAAATGCCTATATTACCTATTCAAAAGTTGACTTCTGAATTATTGTGAAAAAACTGCATTATTTGTGTTTGATCGATGCCGGTTTGTTAGACACTCACAATAGTTGCTGCTTTAGCTTAAAGATAATCACCAAATTCCTCTCTGTGTAGCAGCGGTTCGCCCACTCCTCTTTCCACTGTCGGAGCGGAGAACTCCTGTTCTCCTTCTCATAATGTTTCCTCTTTACATCTGAAAATTCTGTCAGGACAGCAGGAACATTTTTGCCTATAAGTATTTTAACATCATCCAGCTCCTCACATCCTGCACATGATAGATGTTTGGTCCTTCAGCCTGGATTACAGAAATGCTTTTGCTCCAATGACGGATGCTTTTGTAAAAGTTTCTGTCTCTTGGCCCCTTTTTGATTTGTGACTTGTTGCTGCAGAGACCTCCAGCAGGTGACCCTCACAATCTCATAATGAAAGGATCAGTCAGCTCCCACACCACAATAAGCAGCAGTTAATGTATGCAGGCCAGTTTAGCAGAACAATTAACACACATTTGGGTAGGCGCTCCGCACATCTGGTATCACCGTAGGATTGAGATCTCACACACACACACACACACACACACACACACACACACACACACACACACACACACACACACACACACACACACACACACACACACACACACACAGGTATTACTACAGCAGCTCCATTGAGAGGCTGCTCTGGTCTGACAGAGCAAACGGCTGCTGGTGACTCAGACTGGCTGCTTCTGATCTGCTGTGAATTAAAACAAACGCCCCCTGGTGGCCACTCAGGGACCCCTGTCCTCCATCTTTATTTTGCTCCCACTAGTACGTGTGTGTGAGAGAGATACTGTTATCACCATGTACATTAGAACAGTGTAATGGGTTATTGAACATAGTACTATTTAAAAAAATATATATATATATATATTCTGTATTTAAGATATGAATACACACTCTGGCCAATTGCTGAAATGATCCTCCCTGTATTCCTATCAAACATTTAGAGCGAGTAATATATACCCTCTTTAGTACTTTCATTACAATTTTTCAATTTTGTGTACACAATTTTTCTACATAGTAGATTGGTTAAAATGATTCATGTCATTTATGTTTCAGATTTGAATCGGTGTATGTGTTTGGAATATGAAATGAATTACAGAAATTCTGGCTAATTGCTAAGCTGAATTTGACTGAATTCCTAAGGTTTTCTTTAGAAAAGTATTTTGCGATTATTTCATACTTTTTAATATATTTTATGACCATTTATTCCCATTTATTTAATATTGGTCTTGGTGTTTCGAGTTCTTTCATAGAGATATGGTCAGATGTCGTTCTGCTCTGACCGGCCAACCTGAGAGTAGGTTACTCAGATTACTATCACATGAGTAAAGAATGTGATCTGGCATAATCTGGCCAGTATCTTAAACAGATTCTTGCATTGTTTGATTATTTTTTTATCCAGCACCAGTAGAAGTCTCTTTGTACTCTTACACCCCTGATTTCAAAAATGGACATCATGGGTGCATCCATAACTGGTTAATGTATTGCAGGATTGCATCCGGCTCATTGGAATGTTGAAATGTTGTTATTAATGTTATATAATATTATTGCTTTATATTGTATTATTATATTGTTATTATAAGCTTTCATTAAGGCCGCTTTCCTTCTTTTCACAGCTTCTTAGACCGGATCGAGGTGGTCAGGCATAATGACTACACACCCACTGACCAGGTAAGCCACACACACACACACACACACACACACACACACACACACACACACACACACACACACACACACACACACACTTTTCTTCCTCTTACACCCCTGTTTATGAGATCTCTACATCCCTCTGCCTGTATCCCTTTCTCTTTCTATATTTTCGAATTAACACCTTCCTATTCCATCTCTTTTTTTATTTCAGGACCTGTTGAGATGCAGAGTGTTGACATCTGGAATCTTCGAGACACGATTTCAAATAGACAAAGTCAATTTCCAGTGAGTTTTCACAAAATGCATTTATTGCAGTTCAAAAGTGTGTCCACAGGTTATAAAGAAGAACCAAGCCATCTGCGTAAAAACATCAAGAGTGTATGAGACGACAATGTACACATTGTATTTATGTTAAATAATAAATCTAATAAATTCATGTATTTTCCCCTAAAGAGTTTTATTTTCTCAAGACATTGTTGTCACGTGAATGTTATCCCTGTTCCAGTATTTAATGTTAATCCTTTACTCACAGTATGTTCGATGTTGGAGGTCAGAGGGATGAACGTCGAAAATGGATCCAGTGTTTTAACGGTAAGATGTTCCTAGCTTTGACTGCTTTATAGTAGTGATAACACTTTTTAATAACACTTTTTTTTTGTATTCTAAAGATAAACAACAGTTTTTGGAAGTTGTATTCGCCGATGGTGTTTTAATCTTTGTGTTTTGGTGTGTGTGGCGCAGATGTGACAGCCATCATCTTTGTGGTGGCGAGTAGCAGCTACAACATGGTGATCAGAGAAGACAATCAGACCAACAGACTACAGGAAGCCCTCAACCTCTTCAAAAACATCTGGAACAACAGGTGATGATCATAGAAACTAGTGTTGTGATGAAGAGTTTGGTTTTGATGCGCTGGCTGATGTTAGATTTTGATCGTGATATCCATATAAAGACAAGCTTGTTGCACACTGCCACAGTTAAAACATTTTTTGGTAATGTTATAATGAAAAGATTATCTTAAACCCTTGATGGAAATGCTTTTTATGAGTACCATTGTATTAAACCTTTTGGTGTTCGGGGTGTAATGTGACCTGTGGCAGTGTGTTTTGGGCCATACATTACCTATGTATATCCTTTTTTAACCATTATTTCTTTATTCTACTTTTTAACCAATTTTAAAATATATATTATATTTTTAGTAAAATGGTAAAGGAAAGATTGAATGCTGTTATGTCTTGAGAATGAAGCCGTACAACAATGAGGTTTCACTTTGAGGGGAAATGTTAGGTGTCACACATGTGCTGTTTACAAACAGGGTGCATTTATGTACAGTGGGAGTAGATGCTGATATGTGTCTCTCCCTATGGGTGCACTTGATCTGTGTATGGCTGGAGCTTTAAGACCTTTTCAGCCCAGACCTCCAGAGAGAACATTTTTCTCTTGTTCTTCAGCCAGAGCCTATTAATACTCTAATGCCCCTTAAAAAGTGGACATCCTCCAGTAACTCACCTGTAACTTATTTTGGGTTATTAAAAAAAAAGGAATCTGATCTTGTTCTTCAATTCCCTCCAAAGGTGGCTACGGACCATTTCGGTAATCCTCTTCCTGAACAAACAGGACCTGCTCGCTGAGAAGGTTTTGGCAGGGAAATCTAAAATTGAGGAGTATTTTCCGGAGTTCGCACGCTACACTACGCCTGATGATGGTAAGAGATTGACTCTGATATTTGTATTTAGCCAATGCATAACAAACATGGTTGTTAACAACTAGTTCAAATGGTTTCGTTTGGATGAGCATCCATTATAAGTCAAACACAACAGCATAGTTTAAAGTATGCTTTACATTACTCCCAATAATGCAACTAAAGGGTAGTATGTATAGAACATATATATATATATTTAAAAGTTCTTCTCCTCTAACAGCAATACCAGAACCAGGGGAGGATCCCCGTGTCACAAGGGCAAAGTACTTCATTCGGGATGAGTTTCTGGTACGTAGTCGTGTTTTTGAGTTTGATCATTTTTAATCTTGTATGTTTTTTAAGTCTTATCTTTTGGGGGTCAGAGAACATTGCAGGCGACAGAAAGCTGTTATCAACAAACTGACAACCTACTGTTGACTTCATTTTTGTTTCATTTTGTGAATGGTCAACCACTTGGAGATATCCTGCCTGTTAGCGTACAATGTGTTGGAGCGCTAACCAATGGAAGCACGAGTGTTACGTAGTGATGTCACTATGTTATGGAAATAAACAAAGGAGTCCAATTGAGGTGTTTCAGGCAGGGGGGGGGAATGTGTTTGAGAGAAACTCACTCTGGAGGGAACTTTAGGATGTTAGCCTTTCCAGACCATTTACATGCACAGAAACCTATATAATGAATGAATGAATGAAAACTTTATTACAGACTCAGGGTCCAGATAAACATAACTATATATACTATATATAACATACTACATGAAAGGGAAAACCCCAAAAGAGGTTTTTCTACTATTATAAAGTATAATATTCTAATATTAATTTGTTTACTAGTGCATTATCACCAGAAACTAAGAATCCTTATAGAATGAGGCCTTCATATGTACAGCCATGCAGTCCGCCACGTTGCACTGCCTAGTATCTACTATAGCTCAGAACAGACAAGAGAGGGCGTTTCACATTCTTATGTTACCTGAAGTAAAAGTAGGGGTGTGCGAACCACTAGAGGAACTAAATCCTACACACTAAAATGGTTATTACAGGTCTGTGGCGTTGCATAAGACATTAAGAGGTTGTGGAGCCACTGATCTTCAACACTAACTTGTGTGTACCTGTGTGTTCTTCAGAGGATCAGCACAGCCAGCGGGGACGGACGGCATTACTGTTACCCCCACTTCACCTGCGCCGTCGACACAGAAAACATCCGCCGCGTCTTCAATGACTGTCGCGACATCATTCAGAGGATGCACCTACGGCAGTACGAGCTCTTGTGATGGGCAGCGGTGACCGGCCTACGTATCTACCTACCTATCTATCCCCCCCTCCCCCACGACCAGTTAGCCAATCACCGTCCCCCCTCCACCTCACCCAACTTCACCAAACAGCCGAGCCCTCTCCTCCGTCCCGATTCCTCTCCAGGTGACTTCAGTGGAAGACTTTTCTTCAAAAAAAGGAGTTAAGGAAGACATTTTCATCAACTATTAGCCAGGACTGACTGCTGTGCTCAGAAACACTTTGACCCAGGAAGAGGGTCCAGACTGGAATCCCTCCGTGCAGGCTATCCCTCCTTCCAGCTCTCTCAGATATAAACACACACTGGCAGGTACACACACACTACAGCATTCAGAGCCCTTAAATAGATTGTAATGTCTAATATCACACACACAGAGAGCCTTTTAAAACTGAGTCCTCCTGCTCGACAGTCGGCAGATGCTGAGTTGAATAACGCATTCTGAGAGAGAGGAGTTTATTCCCCGTCTGCTGAAGGAGGAAGGGAAGAGGAGAACAATGGACATGGAGGATGGAGAACTGATACAGAGGAGGGCTGTGAGCCTTTTTTGTTGCCCGAACAGACGGACTAATTGACTAACGGCTGCCTGTGGACGTGAGCGTGACTCAAACATAAGACCACGCGGCTCACATGACCCGCTCTTCAAGACACCAATCGAAGAGAAAACAACAAAAAAATGGAGGAGGAAAAAAAATAAAATAAATACCATACAATGCATACCAGTGAACTTCATGCAGTGCAGAGAATCCAAGATATATATATATATAGATATTTATATATGTGTGTATATAAATATGTATATATATATAAATATAAATATTATATATTCCTGTAATAACACAAATCAACTTTTACGTTTTTGTTAGTTTTTACCCCATGTTGTGTGTTGGTGTACACTGTGTGTGTGATCTGCCTTTGTGCACCATTTAACCCCCCCTACCCACACACACACAAATACACAAATATAATATACCCCCCCTGCCCCTGCTGCTATTTGATAAATACTCAACATATGGAAAATAAAAGAGAGGTTTTATATAATAAGGAAAAACACATCGAAAAGGAAAGCATGAATATAAAGACTTATCAAGACTGGATGCAACATTTTACCTGGGAACACACTCTAATACACACACACACAGAAACACACGCTTCACCCTCATCAGNATTTGTTTGTTTTGCTTTGACTCTCCTCTGGTTTGATTTGAGAAAAAAAATTAAGAAAAAAAAAAAAAGAAGATTATCAGACACACCACCTTTAATGCTGTGTAGTGAAAGATACTGAACCCTAACACAATTTAATATATATATATAAAATATATTTCATATTTTATATATATGTACTGTACACTTATATCTATCTCCCTTGTGAGCTGTCCACCAGGTTTCCTTTGTCAGTAACATCTGCATACGTTGTTGGAAAGGTGGCGATTCTGGGTGCAATGGGATGGGTATTCATCTGTTTGTTTGTTTTTTATTTTAGCTTTAACTCTTTTGAAGGAGAGGCAAATATCCAGTTGCAAAACATTGCTTGTTTCTACATAAACCAAATTCTTTTTGCTTAAACAAGAAGAAACGGTTGTATTAGTGTTTGGTTCATTCTACGGCTGAGTTTACTCGATCCTCTACATCTGCACCACACACTCAGCTGCCCGTTTGTTAGGTTCACTTGTCTTAAAGTGCAGTCTAATGCAGCAGGCCTGCAGTGAATCCAACCCTATGTAGATTTTAATGTTCTGTGAGAGGTCTTCTTATTTCTGCCTCAGTGAGGGGAGACTCAATATTAGAAACACCTCTCAGTGAAACAGGATAAACAATTGATGATAATAAAACGTGTTTATATTGCAAAACCAGAGATTGCAAAGTGTTTTAAGGGTTATATAAAGATACAACATGAGAACATGGGCTGTAAATATTTATATCAATTAATAAAAACATTAAATGTGTTATTACATACGGATTTTACAACAAAAACTGAATATTATTACCTTCATGACAGTAGGGTTCATTGTTATTCTGTTGCATTAGACTGCATTGGTTTAAGATAGATTGACTTTATACAATGGCAACTGAACATAAACTAATCTGTGTTTCTTACACCCGTCAGTCCTGAGGAATATCAACATTTTAGCCAAGGTCATATCCTGCTTTTCACAACACACGGGGTTAAAATGAATGTAGCGAACAGAAGCAGTTGGAGCTGAAACTCTTCTGTTCCCTAAACTGACAACTTGTTGTGGTCAAAGATGTAGGTATGCTCTCCACCATGGCCTCTTATGCAGTTGACATCAGGGCCTTTATATTTTCCTGAGTTCATCGTTTATGATTATACAATTAATATAATTATTCACTTTAGTTTAAAAAAACAACAGGCATTTTAGGTTTTAATACACTTTACCTCTTTGGAAAGGGATAGTGCGTTTTATATAAAGCTTAGATCAGCTTTATATAAAACGCACTATATCCCCAAAAGACTGACTGGCTTACCTGGAACATGTTATCGTTGTAAAACTCAACTTTAAATTTGACTTCCAAGCCATTTGGGCCCAGGTTTATTTCTCTGACGTAATCCTTCAAGAGGTGCAGCCATGATAACACGAGAGAAGAGATTACATTAAGCGTTTTATGTTAACACGTCCTCACCTGTGTTCTCCTTAATGCCACACAGGCTGAAACAATAAGAGGGTTTCATTTGAGCTCAACCACATATTCGCTATTTTGACATCAAGTGTTAGAATTTGTTGGGTTTCGATACTTTAAGCTGAAGCAGACGTTTAAAAGCCACATGAAGCAATGGGTAAAAACACCTCAGAGAAGCACAGGCACAATAATATCCCGGCGCAAGTTTTTATATGCAGTTGTGCTCATTTGGCTTGAGTATTTATATCTAACAAAACTCTTGTTTCATCAAGGCCTGTAAATGCTCTCCTTATTATTTATGGCATATTGTGTATTGCACAAAAAATATCATGTGAGAAGTTTTCAAAAGCCATACAAACTATAATTCAGTCTGATTGTCTGAAAAGCTCATGGATGAAGATATTTAACACCTGCAAGAAGATTTGTTGAAGACACTTGAAAATGTAATAAGCTAATAGGAAGTATTTCATTCGATATATATAATGATTGAGCTTCAAGAGGAAACATGTCACATGATAGTAATTCCTACTTTAGAAACGATGCCCAACGCCAATCCCACAGTTGATTTGAGTACCAACTTTCAAAGATCACAAATAACTGCACCATTGTTTCAAAGAATGTGTGTATAAAAGTGGAATCCTGTCTTAAAGCTCAGGTGAAACTACACCTGTTTACACCAGATGCAGGGAGGTATTACAATCTGCTGCTGTTGCAAAGTTAATCCTTATGGCCTCGCACCACCCACTGTGCAGGAGTAACTAGATACACACAATCAGGACTCAATCACACAACTGTCTCTGTGGTCATTTACAGTTTTAATTACACTTGCATGGCCAAAGGTATGTGCACACAGGCATATTACACTCTGTGGTTTTTGAACGTCTCATTTAAAAACCATGGGCATTAATAAGCTGTTCTCGGAAGGCTTTCCACAACGTATTTCGAGTATGGTTGCTGAATTTGCTCCTATTTAGATTGGCTGCTGATATTAGTCAATAATCCCTGGATCATAGTCAGCTTCCTTATCAATCATGATTTGATTGGAGTTGATGTCAGGTCTCTAGTCAACTTCTCATATACCAAAGTATTTGTAGATGAGTCTCAGTGTCAACAGAGGAGGTATAATTTTTAAACAAAATGGCTTTTCACCAAACATGGAGTCATATTTTTGATTTATACATCATTATGAGTGTATATGTTTATCCTAACGGGAATTAAGAGCGTTGTCCAAGCCTAAAAAAAACACCCAAACGTGGATTAAGTGGGACACACTTTCAGCTGTGTACATTCACTACAACCCAAGTAGTGATGTCAAAGCAGGTATATTACAAAGACAAATTACTGACAAATGTAAGACTAAACAATTGTTGGGCAGTGGTCACTGCAAAACTGCACCATGCCGGCACATTTTGATCCGCAGGGGGACTGAAGGAGTAGATTTTTAACTTTAACTTCAGATTTACACGTTATCGTCAATGGTTATTTTTATATAATGCAAGTAAAACGGTGTACTATATTTATTGAAAGCCTATCCTATCAGACAACACAATAGACAAAACAAAAAATGCCTCTTCAAAGTTGTAGCAACGGCATAAAATATATTCAAGGTGGCAATACTTTTCTGATATTTAATTTTTTTTAAATAGTGTTTGTATGGAAGCAAATAATTGCAATATGCATTTGATTTGTTTAAGTAAGTGATGTTAAAATGCAGCCAATACTGAAAAGGTTACTTCATGTAGTATCTATACCACTACTACAGCACTGAAATGTTTTATTATAAAAACAAAGAACGATTTGAAGTTGTGCAGTTAAAGGTGGGGTAGGTAATTCACTTCAGAAACACTTTTTGTTATATTCCATGGAATGCTCTTAACATCCCAATAGCAATGAATATATGAAATGCTTTGACAATAAATACATTAAAACATTTCATCTGTGGAAGCCGTGGTGCTGTAAAAAGCACGACCAATCATTTTAGTCGGCACGGCTAAAATAACTGGATGGCCTACCTGCCTGTCAGCCTTCCATCGGAGGGGCTCTGTAAGGAAGTCTGAAGGAAGGGGCAGATTTTTTCCGGTTGTGTACTTTCAAATTCTAGCACATTCGAGCTGGTTTCTCCATTCTTACCTATCCTACCTTTAAGCACCTCCTTACACCTCAATTACCTGCTTTCAAAGTGACCTATATTTCTGACAGCGGTTTAAGGCATACTTTTCCCCCGCTCCACCGGAGGGAGCCAGAGGTTAAAAACAAATACAGACGGGTAAAAAACAAACACGTGGGTCGAACCGGACGACTAAACGAGCTTCTTCCTCCCCCTAAGCCCCGCCTCCACGTTTCCATGCATTGGCGCGCTTCGCCTCTGTGACTGGCTCCCTGCTCCTCCCCGGGTGGCGGTGACTCTGTAGTGGGCTGCGGGTGAACACACAGCAGGCATGAGTGCGGCGGGTAGTGCTCGGTCCGGTTCGGCCGCTGGCCCGGTCCAACAGGGGCTAAAAGAGGCTCTAATCGAGACACTGAAGGCCATCCTGTCCCCGGTTCAAGAAGTGCGCGCTGCTGCGGAGGAGCAGATCAAAGTGCTGGAAGTGACAGAGGGTGAGTAGCCAGTTTCTCAAAGCTAGTTTGAGGGAGTTACCAGCGGCTAGCTGCCCGGTGTCCGCACTCACTGACGGCATGGGCCTCCGCAGAGATAAGCACCATGCGGACAGCAGTGTACTGCTTCCATCAGGGCTAACTCCGGCTGTGTTTGCTAAGCTGAGAAGTAGCTAACAGTCACGATAGTGTGGTAATTGTGTCATGTCCATGAAGGCCACATTTTAAGAAGTTATTTATTGGTGTACACGTTAGCTTCAAATCTCTTATCTTGCCTTGCTCAAAGTGACGCAGACGAACAAATCACAACTAACCGTGTCTCACAAGTGTAATGGTTAACGTTAGGTTGTAAGTATGTCACATTGAGCACATGGGGGACTGCTAGGACCCCGTCCCTTAAACAGCAGAGCAACAGGGTGGACTGGGTTATTCTTCTGCCTCAATAAGAACGGTCCGTTAGCTTTTATATCAGCGTATCACTGTGAGCTAGCTAAGAGATTCTCCCAGTTCTTCTGAAACTAAAGCAACAAAAACGGTTAGGAGAGCATTGGAATGTGACAACGTCACTTGGAAAAGGGGTCAGGTGGGTTGACAGCAGCATGTCCTAAACCCCCACCTGAGACAAGTGTTATTTAACCGTTTCTATATATATATTATTTATATTTATATATATATATGTATGTAAATACATACATATATATGTATGAACAACAGTGTTTACAGTGAGATGCAAACTGGCTTCAAGAGGTCCCAGAAGTTACCCATCACTTAAACGTATATAACCATTTTTATGGTCGCTATGGCAACAACGGAATGCCCGTTGACAGATTTTCCCGCGAAGATGTCTCCCAGGGCGGTTCTCCCGCGCCAGCCTCCAGCAGCATCAGCACCATCAGGATGAGAGAGGGCAAGACAAAAAGGACTACTGTCCCAGAATCCATCCATGCATACATAAAGTCCATATAATGTAAAGCATTCCTACACAAACATATTAATGTGCCCTTATCTGGAGACCAACTGCACAAAATGGGCTCTTTTGTTGTTGTTGCTCTTTCAGTTCTAGTTGTTTTGATAGAAAACATGAAACAGTTGACAGCAAGTTTCTATATGTTTTTTTGTATATAACAGTGACAGAATGGGTCTGTTTTCCCTTGTCCCTGGTATTAAAATTGTTATTATAGCATCTGGAGATATAGTTGATGAAAATCCTAGGCACCATGGAAATAACCTTGTATCTTATGTTAACAATTGGGGACAGTTGGTGTTTTGAGGAAATAATAACCATCACAAAGGATTTCATTTTTGATAAAGTCCCCAATCCAATAGGATGGGTACAGTACCTAGCAGCCGTAGCTTATGCTCCACTAGACTTTCCATTGTCTGTCCTGCAATCCTCGTGCCCATGGTAAAAAGGCTAATTGTTAACTCTGTCTGTCGGCTGTGCTACAGCGTGTCGCAGCGATGCCGACCCTTTCCACTGGCCCCTCTCTAAGGCAGACGCTCTACAGGACTGTCAGCACTCACATTGTCTTCTGGCGCCTGATGTCATTTTTAGTAAAACCCAGTTAATGAGAGAGCTCAATGGAGCTGAGGTTGACGCTGATCCTGAACTGTATTTATCTGCATGCAGGTCAGGTCAGGCCAGGTTCACACCAGTGTACGCATTACAGCTCACAGGCTGTTGCAATGTCGGTGGCCTTGGAACTTCATTATATCAATGTTGTCATGTATTGTGGTACACCAACTCAAAACACCTAGAAGTTTGTTGTATTAAGCTGCAGCTAAGAGAATTCTGCATGTGTGTGTATGCTTGTTTTAATCGGCCTACTTGCTGTGGATTTCTTGTGTTTTTCTTTTTTTACTTATCACACAGTGCTTTTTTGTCATATTTATAATTAGCAGCATCCAGTTTGAATCTCAGATAAAATCATATTGTCCTTACAGGGAAAACTCAAGTGACGAAGAGAAAACAAATGATCTAAAACCTAAATATTAAACTACCACTACCAATAGCACAAAATAAATTCAAGTCAAGTAAGAATTTGTAAGAATAAAAGTGTTGAGTCCTTGTCAATAGATTTCAGTAACACTGGAAATTGGAGAGATTTTGAATTGGAAGGCTATTTCTTTCCTGTTTTATTAGTGTCTTAAAATCTTCATTGCATCCAGTGTAATTCAGTGTTGTGGAAAAACACTTGAAATGATTCCTACCTAGCTTCTTGCCTTAGTGAGTGCTCTCAGCCTACTCTAATCATATAATGTGTGTGCTGAGCTCATTTATTAATAATTGATTTTTGTCTTTGCTGATATATTTATGTTCCAGAGTTTGGTGTCCATCTGGCAGAACTCACAGTTGATCCTCAGGGAGCGCTCGCAATCCGTCAGGTGAGTGTAAAAAAGTAGACATTGTGAGGAAATGATGTCAGATAAACGTCTCCGTTTTTTAATCATGATCTGCATTCTGTGTTGAGCTCACTTCCACTTATTTTCAAACATCTGTCTGTGTACGCAGTTAGCATCAGTCATCCTGAAGCAGTATGTGGAGACTCACTGGTGTTCCCACTCAGAGAAATTTAGACCTCCTGAAACTTCCGATCAGGTAATTACACCTTAAATACATATATTTAGTTTGTTACTGGAAAACTATCCCTGTTTCAAAAGTATTGTTGAACATAATATTAATTTGAGTTGTCAAACTGCTGTTGCCCCCTCCAGGCTAAAGCCGCCATCAGGGTGCTGCTGCCCAGCGGTCTGCGGGAGGCCATCAGCAAGGTCCGCTCCAGTGTAGCGTACGCCGTGTCGGCCATCGCCCACTGGGACTGGCCCGAGGCCTGGCCGCAGCTGCTCACCCTCCTGATGGAGATGCTGGTCAGTGGAAACGTCAACGCTGTGCACGGGGCCATGAGGGTCCTAACAGGTATGGAATATTATAAACATAAAAACACAAAATCTGTACATCAACAACCTCCACAACATGAGGCCAAACCCTTCAAATCTTGGTTTTTAGAATATTTATTTTTTATCATAATGTTTTTGGGTTGTACAAATATCATCCCAGTATTTAATGAACACTATATTTAAGGAAATCCTTGAGGGACTTTTTTATAAATACAAAACACTTTTTTGTTAATAAATCAATAATTCTTACGCCAGATGTGACAGTTTCACACAAAATACAGGATAAAATGAAGAAGTGATGACATTTTGGAAAGGCATGAAAAGTGTGACCTGTTTTTCTTTTTTTAAATGCAGCACTTGAAAGGGTATTTTGAGATGATATCAGTTGTTGGAGATGCAGTGTTAATATTTGACATTATCAAGGAATTCAAGCAATATCATTTGTGCCAAAAGATGAGATTTTAAAGTTACAAACAGTATTTCATTACAGGTCAAACACAAGGATTTGTTGGGAAAGCACTCCTGTCTCGTGCACGGCCTTACGTTTTATCTGTATTTTAAAGTTGTATTTTGTTTTCTTTAAAATAATAAAATACTTGACTTAAAAGGTCCCTGGAAGAAATAATGACGTCAGAAAACATATTTTAAATCTTTTTTTGTTCATGTGACAATCTGTTTTGCTTTCAGAGTTTACTCGGGAGGTGACTGACACACAGATGCCGCTGGTGGCTCCTGTCATCTTACCTGAAATGTACAAGATCTTCACCATGGCAGAGGTATTTCTACACCACATTTTGTTCATCTGTTTTCCAAGGGCCAGAGCAGCAGTACTGTATTTTTTTTACTTTAAATTGCAATACATTGATGCAACACTTTCTGGCTTTTTCTTTAAAAATGTAAATTGAAATAGTGAACATTTTCCCAGTCTAGTTCTTAGGGTATTGTAAGCATTTTATATTGTAATGGATACACACATTTTATTCCAACTACCATTTGGAACTGTGCGATGTTATGTCCCTGATAATGTCTGAGATGGTTCTGCTCTGCGTCTGTCTTATAGGAAGTTTCAGGTACCTTTCTAATGTTCCCTCCTTGTTGCAGGTGTACAGTATTCGTACCCGATCCAGAGCCGTGGAGATATTCACCACCTGTGCCAACCTCATCTGTGCTATTGAAGAGCATGAGAAGGTGAGTCATAACAAGACATACAAGGATATTTTCTCCGATATTATGTGAATAAGTAGATATTACATGTAGTTTGAATCAAATATATGTAATTGACCTTGTTTTACTTTTGACTTAACTCCCTTTTTCACCCAATGAGTTGCAGTTGATTTGATTCATCATTTATAGTTTTATTTAACTTTTAAAAGTCCACATTTCTTAAAACTGATGACAGCCATGCCAACGTCTTGCCTATAACTTGTCAATAATGTGAATGTAATGAAACTGTTCCTGCGCTGTGTGTGTGTGTGTGTGTGTGTGTGTGTGTGTGTGTGTGTGTGTGTGTGTGTGTGTGTGTGTGTGTGTGTGTGTGTGTGTGTGTGTGTGTGTGTGTGTGTGTGTGTGTGTGTGTGTGTGTGTGTGTGTGTGTGTGTGTGTGTGTGTGTGTGTGTGTGTGTGTGTGTGTGTGTGTGTGTGTGTGTGTGTGTGTGTGTGTGTGTGTGTGTAGGGTGCAGCCAAAGCGTTGATCTTCCCCGTGGTGCAGCAGTTCACTGAAGCGTTTGTGCACGCTCTACAGATGCCTGAGGGACCCTTGTCTGATAGCGGTCTCAAGATGGAAGTCCTAAAGGTGAGAGTCCGCGAGTAGCGTTCAAATGTCTCAAAGCACAAGTTTTTACTTGCATATGAGATAAGACAAGTAAGTTTTAACTTGTATGTATTCGAAATTAAATGTTTAATATAATAGAATTGGGAGGGTTTAAACCCTCTTTAATGGTCACACATGCAGAGCACACAGCACACACAGTGAAATGTGTTCTCTGCATTTAACCCATCCTAGTGACAGGAGTCTAGGAGCAGTGGGCAGCTATTGTACAGCGCCCGGGGAGTGAGGGGGGAAGGGGAGTGTCCGGTGCCTTGCTGAAGGGCACCACGGCAGGGCAGGAGGTGAACTGGGACCTCTCCAAGTAGCAGTCCACACTCATGGGCAATGCACATGAGGCCAGAAGAGTACATTTCATTTTTGTATCACATGCACCATTTCAAATTATGTTAAATGCAAACTTGAAAACATATTTCATAATATTGATCAACATTTGATCCATAAGTTGTATTTATTAATGGTTGGATTACCCCCAAGTAAACATAGCCACATTATAGCTCATTAGCCTAATGGTACAAAAACACCTTACAGACTTCCAGCATAGTTTTTATTCCGTAAAAACCTTTGCCTGCCAGGGGAGCCTTTTGAAATCTACCTGCATTTGGGAATGTGTGGGTGTTCATTTCAGTGCTTGTAACGACTATCTACACTTGATGCTTTGAATCTGTATTTCTCATTCTGTTTTCCTTCTTGCCCCCAGGCAGTAACTGCGTTGGTGAACAATTTCCCCAAACCCATGGTGTCCTCCATGCAGCAGATTCTACCCATCGTCTGGAACACACTGACTGAAAGTGCAGCTTTATATCCTTTACCATGCCAAACAGCACAAGTGCTCATTTACTGCTGTCAAAGCATCTTTAAAAGCTTCTTTAGACTGATAAGGGAAACATCGTTTTTCTGAGTTATAGCTACAGGTTCACTTCTTAATGGCACTTTTACTATTGGAGTTTGTGATCACTGATCCACCTCAACGCATAGGCTCATCCTGTTACATGGAAGTCACATGATTACTAATCAAAATCATTTACATTTTGGAGAGTTAATTGAATAATGGAAATCCTATGCAATGAGTACTGACAACTAGATAAAACAAATAAAGAGTAACGGTGTTTTTGTACTGGAGTATTCCTTAACCAAATGTCCACCTATGTGAGAACAGAAGTCAACTACACAGAGGAAGTGGATGACCCTGTAGACTCTGATGGTGAGCAGAAAGCTTTGTCACATTTGTTTGAAAAGTTAGCGACATTCAAAGCATCATTTCAATCTTCTGATATTTCTCTTGGCTCTTTTCTGCAGGTGAAGTTTTGGGCTTTGAGAATCTGGTGTTCAGTATCTTTGACTTTGTCCACACGCTGCTGGAAAACCACAAGTTTAAAAGCACAGTGAAGAAAGCGCTGCCGGAACTCATCTACTACGTCATCCTGTACATGCAGATCACTGAGGACCAGGTGAGGAACGGCTGGCAAACATCAGAGGACATTTTGGTTGGCAAAGATGGATTTATGAGGGGTAAAAAAAGTGTTGGTGCCATCTTGTTTTTTTTTCCAGATCAAAGCGTGGACGGCAAATCCCCAGCAGTTTGTAGAGGATGAGGATGATGACACCTTCTCCTACTCTGTCAGGATATCTGCTCAGGACCTGCTGCTGGTGAGAAAAAAACCTACAAATCTTATTGTAAAATTCCACAAATCTAAAAGGCAACATTTTAAAGACCAAATTGTATTAACACCTTTTATAACAGTTTACATGTTAACACGCATAGCAACACAAACAATGAGAAAGTGCTAAAAATAAATTTTACCAAACACTGTCACCTGGTACTCATCTGAGTAACTCACTAGGAAAGTTATGTGCACCCCTGGTTATAATCCACTAACGTCAACAAGCGCTCAGGTCCCAGCTGTGCGTCTCAGTTTTCAGTGTCCCCTTGTTTCCGCTGTGCTTTGAGCTTCTTGCAGCGTTTAGTATTCAGCGTATGTCAGTTGGTGAAGTTTTTCTTAATGCTGTGCATGTGTTGTCAAGTTAGTTAAGATTTTTCTTCCTTTTTCAAGTGTTTTTGGCACCTTTTTTGTGTTTCTTTTAATTGCATTGTTTTTTGAAACTGCACCGCCACTCTCCTAATGGAAGTTCTTTGGGCCGTTGTAATGCGTTGGCACCGATAGGCCACCTTACCTTTCTTCATTTGATATAAAATCACAGCTTATTTAACTGTACAGCTGAGTGAGTTCCCTTTTTAAAAATGGTCTGACGGAGCTTTTCACACCTTGTTTTTTTTTTTAAACGAGGTCCAGCAACAGTCCAGTATAACAATATCTCTACACTTAATCCTGAAAAAAAACACGTTTATTTCTCTCCTTGTTCCTCTCCTACACATACAGCCTCCGCAAACATTAGAGACATCTGTTGAACCTTGTTGCCCTAGTCCTTTAAAACGTCTGGAAATAGTTGTTTACTTTCGATGAGTGATGTTCTTGCAGTGTTGAATCATAGGGAATCTGAGCAGTGCGGTCACTTGTAAAACAGGGGTCAGAAATATCCAGCATGGATACATTTGCATTAGTTTCACAGCAGCCTTTGGTCCATTTGGAGAGTGAGTATGATGATGACCTTTGACCTCTGCTTGCAGGCTGTTGCTGCAGAGTTTCAGAATGAGAGTGCAGCAGCTCTGGCAGCGGCAGCAACCAGACATCTCCAGGAGGCCGAGCAGGCCAAAAACAGCGGCAATGAGCACTGGTGAGTTATTTATTACATCTCAGTGTCTTTAAACTGTCCAATTTGAGACACTTTTCACCTGTCCAGACTTCTGCTTTGAGTCTGAAATATATGTATCTTTTTTTAACCAGGTGGAAGATCCATGAGGCCTGCATGTTGGCCCTCGGCTCTGTAAAAACCATCATCACAGAGAACGTGAAGAACGGTCGTATCCAGTTTGACATGCACGGTTTCTTGGCTGGTGTTATTCTCGCCGATCTTAACTTGGCAGGTGAGTACTCAACCGACTCTGAGAAATGATCCACAACACACATGAAAAACTCTTGAATCTACCATAAGTAGGAACTTTGTGACTGACTTGACTTTCTCTCTCTTGCTCGTCTCCTCTCGTGTGGTTCTTTGCTGTCCAGCGGCGTCTCCGTTCCTCCTGGGCCGGGCTCTGTGGGCGGCCAGTCGCTTCACGGCTGCCATGTCTCCGGAGCTCATCCAGCAGTTCCTGCAGGCCACCGTCAGCGGTCTGCACGACAGCCAGCCGCCCTCCGTACGCATCTCCGGGGTCAGGGCCATCTGGGGGTGAGCAAGCTGTGTTTGTTACTTTTTTTAACTGCTGAAACCTATACAAAACATCTTGTGTTACTTTGTTATCTATGAACACCATTTTTTCTCAAGAACCAGAAAAAACGGTATGGATGGTTCCTCTCTAACGGAATCAATTAATTCTGGTCTTTCATATAACTGCTGAACATTTTTAAAACCCCACAAATAAATGATTCCATCAGCAGACAGTCAGAGGGGTTCAGACCCACATTTGAAATGTGCAACTTTAAAGAGTTTTTAAATGGTCACTGGCTAACTGAGTTAAAGGTCCCATCATATGCTTTTCTGGTTATTACCCGTCCCCTTGTGTGTTATGTAGCTTTTTCTGCATGTAAATGGTCTGCAGAGTCACAAACCCTCAAAGTACACCCTGAAGCGAGTAAAACTCTAACACAGAAAAGACCTGTCTATGCTGCCCCAGAACACCTCGTTGGAGATTTTTCTTTTTCCATTTTTTTCTTCCGAGGCATACTGACGTCACTAAGTCTGGAGCAATTGGCACACAGCAATTGGCACACAGCTATAGAACAATAGGCACACCCTCTGCCAGGGTGGACTCCCGAGCAGGTCAGGATTAGGGATGGGTATTGTTAAGGTTTTAACGGTACTACTACTTTTATCGATACCGCTTATTGGTCCGGTCTTTTAACGGTACTCTTATCGGTTCTTTTGGAGAAAAAAAACAAGGTAAACTAACTAAACAAATTGTGAACAAAACTAACATTGCTTTTTATTTAAATTAAATACATAATATTTCACATCAAAAGAAACAACAATGTTTTAAAGGTAGAGTATGTAAGTTTGAGAAACCGGCTCAAGATCGCTAGAATTTGAAAATACACGACCGGAGAAAATCTGCCACTTCCTTACAGAGCCCCTCCTCCAACACACAAAAACGCGCACCTGACCAATGAGGGCACGAAATAAGTTTGTGCACAGATGGAAGGCTGACAGGCAGGTAGGCCATCCAGTTATTTTAGCCAGGTCGGCTAAAATGATTGGTCGTGCTTTTTACAGTACTACGGCTTCCACAGATGACATTTTTTTTATGGATTTTTTTGTCAAAGCACTTCAGATATTCATTGCTATCGGGATGTTAAGAGCATTCCATGGAATATAACAAAAAGTGTATCTAGAGCCGGATCCTCAAACTTACATACCCAACCTTTTAACAAATCGTATTAAATAATCTGATGACAGAACTGTACACAGAATAGCTGAAACTTTAACAAATTAAATAACTCAGTTACCTCTAATCATTAACCCATGTTTGTATAATTGAGTTAGCTCCGTGTGTTGCTGCTAGCGTACATAACACCTGAGGTGGAAACGTTACTCGTGGATGGGGCTACAGAGCTACTAGAAAGACAGTCGAAAACGTTGCATTTCTCCGTGACTTTTGGTCACGAGCATTGTTACCAAATGCTCGTGACCATCGAGACAGGTAAAGTTTAACCACACCTCGGAGCGCGTTTTCTCCGCTGTGTGTGTGTGTGTGTGTGTGTGTGTGTGTGTGTGTGTGTGTGTGTGTGTGTGTGTGTGTGTGTGTGTGTNACTGCCCCGCCCCGCCCCCTCGCACACAGACGGGAGAGAGAGATCTCTCGTCTGGACTGGAAAGATCGAAAATACTAAAATTAATCATCGACGCATTTTGCAGTCTTTTTGCATATTAGAAACGGAGTTGGCAACACTAAAACTGCAATATAATGTTTGTGTAGCAACAATACATATGACATATATTTTTTAAATGTCTCCAGTACCGATAAAAAGACCGCTAACGTCAGAGTTTAACGGTACCACGGTCTTTTATAATTCAGCACCGGGGCCCGTGCAATACCGGGGCTCGGTACCCATCCCTACTCAGGAGTCTCCCCCGCGAGGCTCCCAGAGCAGACTCCCGAGCAGCTCAGGAGTCTGCCCCGCGAGGCAGGCTCGTTCCCGGAGCGGACAGTGTGAGGTGGATTTCCCCGCTGTATTTCCCTGGATGCTGGATATAGACCAAGTGCCATGCCAGCGGACAACGCTGAGCTAAGTTCAGGCTGAGCTCCGCAATGTCGCACTAACATGACACGCAGACCCCACGCAGCAACCAGGAAACTACACCAGTAATCTAGCTCACACTGTCCGCTCCTCAAGCCCCACAAGTCGGAGCAGTGAGCCCCGCAACGTCCCACCAACACGGCACCCAGACCCCACGCAGCATTCTCATCTGTTTGTCATTACTGGTGTCATTTTCTGGTTGCTAACAAACGCCATTGTAAAACATAAACACTGATATTCAGCTGTAACGGTGGTGGACTCATCAGAACAGAGTGGCCGAGCTGACCAATCAGCGCACAGTGTGCTCATGGGGGGGCGGGGCAGTAGCTCCAACAAGGCGTGTAGGACAGATAGTGAATACGCATACTATACAGAGATACTGTATAAGAAAACCAATGTGATTTTGGAACATTGAAAAATGTAAATCTATTCTAGTAGACCTCAACAATGGAATTATGATCAGTAGAAATGGCCAAAACATGGGACGTTTTAAGATAAAGGTGTTTGATGGATACCGTCTGTTTATTAAATTCTGCTTTCCTCTTTAATCTCCAGGTACTGTGATCAGCTGAAGCTGTCGGAGAGCACCCATGTCCTGCAGCCCTTCCTCCCCAGCATCCTCGAAGGACTCATCCAACTGGCCGCCCAGTTCAGCTCAGAGGTTCTCACCCTCGTCATGGAAACCCTGTGCATCGTCTGCACCGTGGACCCCACCTTCACCACCAACGCAGAGAACAAGATCTGCCCCCTCACCATTGCTATTTTCCTGAAATACAACAACGGTACTGCTACAACTACTCTGACAACGTCCTCTATCAGACTACTTTCATATCAAACACATCATTTTAACTCCATTCTTAATCTTTCTAGCTTAAATAGGGGATACATTGTCAAGATTTTTTACTTAAAATATGCTCTGGATACTTTGACATAGATTTTGAAAGAAAGCATATTTGTGTTAAACCTTCTACATTCTCGAGTTTTCTGAAATTGTTCAATTTAAAACCAAATCTTGGTAAAGACATATTAACCTAAAAATGCTGAGCTCCTTCCTTCTTGAATTAGGCATCAGGTTTGCCAGCTTTCAAATGATGTACACCACTTCTATGTGGCATATACTGTTGACCAGCTATTTCCTCCTAGGGACTCCATTTTCCCTCTTAACACATACATGTTTCTACTGAATTTCGATAGAGATCCATAGTTTAATATGTCCCTTTTCTATCTTTGTCTCTGTCTCTCTTTGTATCTTTCTTCTCAGACCCTGTGGTGGCGTCCCTGGCTCAGGACATCTTTAAGGAGCTGGCACAGATCGAGGGCTGCCAGGGCCCCATGCAGATGCGTCTCATCCCCACGCTGATCAGCATCATGCACGCTCCCACCGATAAGATCCCCTCTGGACTCTGTGCTGTGAGTAGATAGAGGCACTGACATTGTTCATGTGTCTAGATATAGCACATCTAAAAATGTTAGAGGACCAAAAAAGCCAAATAATCAGCTTTTGTCTGCAGGGCTATCTTGTTTTTTAAAACTAAATCTGACCACTTTTCGTCCCCTTGTGTCTGTGCTACAGTCGTCCATCGACATCCTGACCACAGTGGTCCGAAACACCAAAGCCCCTCTCTCAGAGCTGCTGGTGTGCCAGGCTTTCCCTGTGGTGGCTCAGTGCACCTTACGCACTGACGACAACACGATAATGCAGGTAAACACACCAAATTTTATTTTATTTTGCATTTCATCTCAACATGAGCGTAACTGTCAAGAGCTATAACTTAAATGAAGAAATACCACAATGTATAACTTATTGTGTTCACATTCATTCACATAACAAAGACTTCTTCCTAATTCTCTTCTGCTCACACTCTTCTCCAGAACGGAGGCGAGTGTTTGCGGGCGTACGTCTCCGTGGCCCTGGAGCAGATCGCTCAGTGGAGGGACGAGCAAGGCAACAGCGGCCTCTGGTACGTCATGCAGGCGGTCAACCAGCTGCTGGATCCCCGCACCTCGGAGTTCACGGCCGCCTTCGTGGGCCGGTTGGTTTCCACTCTGATCTCTCGGGCGGGAACCCAGCTCGGGGAACAGCTGGACCAGATCCTGAGAGCCATTCTGAGCAAGATGCAGCAAGCGGAGACTCTGAGTGTCATGCAGGTAAGGGGAGCAAAGCTCATCTGTATCTGTTACTTCACCAACAGGCTATCTTCAACACCTCATTATTCCCCTTCCTCCTCCTCCTCCCCCCCCCTCCTGTAGTCTCTTATCATGGTGTTTGCCAACCTGGTGCACTCCCAGCTGGAGCCTCTGTTGGAGTTCCTGTGCAGTCTGCCCGGCCCCACGGGGAAACCTGCCCTGGAGTTTGTCATGACGGAGTGGATGAGCAGGCAGCACCTCTTCTATGGACAGTACGAGGGCAAAGTCAGGTCAGACAACATTCTCGTTCATCATTTCTACAACTATTCTCTGACATAATTAACCAACACACATTCAAATTAGTTATTTTAAGTCACACCGATTGATGCACCATCTCATTGGTTGTTTTATCATTTTTTTGTCCTGCAGCACGGTGGCTCTCTGTAAGCTCCTTCAGCACGGTCTCAACAGTGACGACAAACGCCTCCAGGACATCGTGGTGAAGGGGGAAGAGATCTACAGCCATGAAGACGGCATCCGCACACGCTCCAAATCTGCCAAGAGTAAGGAGGCCAATGAGGAAGATCACATGACGTCCACACGGGGATGTTAGCATAGATATATATAAACACTAGATGACTCGCCCGCGCTGCTGGCCAATGGAGACCGACGTTGCCACATGGCGGCCATCTTGCCACAGGCAGCTCGCGCATTCATAACATTATGTGCACATTAGGTGCACTATTGAAATAACCGTAGCTTGCTAAATTTTCCACCAATTTTCAAACGGTTTGGTTTGTTGTAAACATCTAATATGTAGTTATGATACTGCATACTTATCATTATAATCACAAACTTTTTTTTTCAACATGTCTTGTTGTCTCCTGTATCATAGCCATGCTGATAACATTTATAATAAGCTAAACCGTTTGTAAATCAGTCAAGAGTTTGGCGAGTAGTTGTTGACTGTGGCAAGATGGCCACTGGTGAGCTACCCTGGCGACTCCCCCTTGAGCCATCTGGCCTTTATATATCAGTGATGCAAATTAGTCGCTTTCCGGCGACTCCCGCTTTTTTAATGCTGATTTGGGTGACTTGTGTAATTCGTGGAGAACCGAAGAGTTTTCGTTTGGGGGGGGGGGCGGCGCGACGACTCACGGACTGACGGACAACTTCTCACTTCAAAAAAGAAGCGAGTGCCTGTTTTTCCTGGCCAAGGACAGGTTCCTTGAACACAACACGAGCGTAACATGTCTTCACGTGGTATATGTCTCGTCTGAAAGGAGTGCTGACAGAGAGCACCTGAACGCCGCTCAAGCCCTTCAAATATTGCAGTACCCAACTACCCATAAGGAGCCGTACACATGCCGCAGTGTTTGCGTGGCTGTGTCTTTAGTTGTAAGCACAGTGGCGATCTGTTGTTATTAGCATCTGGTTAGCTAGCTATGCTAACGAATTTAAAGAGCTTTTCTACAACCAGGTGGAAGAGAGCTCTCTCCTTAGAGGCTCAAATAACCTCAGCTCAGTGAGTTACTCACTGAGCTGAGGTTATTTGAGCCTCTAAGGAGAGAGCTCTCTTCCACCTGGTTGTAGAAAAGCTCTTTAAATTCGTTAGCATAGCTAGCTAACCANGTAGTATAAATGTTTAGTTGACTTTATAACGTTCGGAAAATAATAAAAATATAACGACTAATACCGTATGTCGAATTTCTTTTTGAGTTATATAGGATAGAGTCTTTTTAATCTTAATCAAGGAGTCTGGTTCAATTTTTTTTTTTCTAAATATTGTCGTTTTTGTGTTAGTTTGTAACTTTTACAGTAAATTACGTGAGCATGAACCAACCCCTTTAGTAAAACGTGTGCTAAATGACGTAGTTACGCGCACCGTATCTCCGTTAGTCGGACACCGTAACACGACTCCACAATACCTACCGGTCCCTACGAAGTTATCGCTGGAAAATCGAGTAATCGTAACAACCCCAGACCACAGAAAGTCGAAGAAGAAGTGTTATGGGGTGTTATATAGAGATACCCCAAGTCCAGTCCCCTTAAAACGTCCGGTTAGCTCCTGTCATTACGGTACCAGGTCATGTGGTCAATGACCCACCAAAACCGTGACAACCCGTCCACGGTCTAGTACGACCTTTTACTTAAAGGAGTAGAGGTATTCTCGAAAAGTCGTCTGCCTTCGTAACATCACGAGATTTAGAAGAACCATGTGTCCGACGTAAATGAGGACCCGAACTTACTTTGTGTCACCTGGTTTTGGTCGTCGACCTTGTACCCGAGGAGTTTGGTAGCGACTGGACACCCCTTGAAGTGTGACCTAAAGTTTCGTTGAACCTAAAAACGAAGGAGAGGTCGGAAGAGAGGTCTGAGACCGCGGAACTTGAAGGTTTACTTTATGTTTGTGAACGAAAGCAGACTTTTTCTCCTGAAACTGTATGACATTTTTGTTTTTTTAATTGCATTACAGAAAATAAAGAACTTTATCACAATATTCTAATTTTCTGAGACAGTCCTGTATTGTCAAACAAGGGGACTTTGAGTATTGTCAATGTAGTAAAATGAATTTATAATTGACTGTTTATTAAAATGAATTATTCTTGGAATAACATCATTTAATTGACCTTTGGTGTAATTTACCAAGTTTCACATGGTACTATGATTTATCCCCTTTATTTGAAACACCTTGAGATTTCCATGTCATTTTCAGTGTTTTATATAAAATTGTATATATTACATTATATACATTTTTTAAAATATAAAATGCATTATAATGTCTACAATTGTAATGTATACTTTATTTGAGCTGAAATGGTTAAGAAATATAAAACACAAATCACCACCAACTTCAACGGTACAGTGAATTTATAGTGAGCCAGTGTCCGGGGAGCAGTGTAGGGAACGGTGCCTTGCTCAGGGACACCTCGGTAGAACTTGGTCTCACCGGGACTTGAACTGGTGACCTTCCAGTTACCAAGCCAAGTCCCTATCGACTTCGCCACCACCGCACGGTATATGTAAATGCATGTAAACCGATGAACTTACCATTTCCATAAATAGGTAAAAGAAAAATGTAAATAACATGTATTTTACAGTTTTAAAGTTTTAGATTTATTTGAACACGTGATTAAAAAGGACCTGCATATTTCAGTATTTCTCACGTTTCGGGGAGACAAGAGAGGAATCTGGACATCTGGAAATATTGTCCTTTCTGGACTTTTATTTAGAAATCTATCCACCCCAAATTTCAATGGGTATACAAGGGAAATGACAATGCTGCGAATCACCGTGGCAACAGTTTGAATTTCCCAAATACCCATCGTACCCAGAGACATGACAGCCGGTATAAGAACTTTTCATTTCCTGTCAGAAACAGTGAACGTTTTTGTGGAATAAAAGGCTGCCAATATTTCTCTCCTTCCCCCAAATATCACAATGATTGTTTTTATTTGACTTCCTTCGAATCAGTGTAGTCTGTTGAAAGCATTTTCTATGTTTCATTTTTTTTACAGAAATGACAAAAATAATGGGCTAAGTTACAAATAGCACATGGCAAAATAGTCTGTTCATATTTTGTGTTTCACCTGTCCCACTGTGAAGCCTCGAGCTTTTTGTCCAATGCTCTCGTCTGTCTGAAGTTTCTGTAAAATGACGAGTCCTCTGAGTAGCGCCAGGAACAGACCAGGGCGTCTCTCACCTCCTCGCTTTAACATCTGCAAAATCCTTCATCCCGTGAGCACGTAGAAAAAGGGAGTTATGGGTAAGTGCTGTACGTCTCTTTTAACCCGTTTTCCCTCCTCGCTCATTCCATTTCTCCTTTCCATTGATACGTTGTTTTAAATTCATCATAAGCGCACAAGTATTAGGAGAGTTCAGATGGAAGAGGAGCTCGGGCTAGAGGCCTATGGACTGCAGGGTTTGTCTCTCGGTGGAGGTGAGGTGTCCGGAGAACATGCTGTAACACGGCTGCTGGGCGAACTGAGTCAGGAAGTCTGTCAGGTAAGCCTGGGAACAAACACAGTGCAGGGCAACAGTTGTTATTACAGTGTTAGAAAAATACATTATGCAAAGACAATAGGGATGGGAATTTGAAAGCAAATGTATATTTGAATATTCGACTCCCCAAAAAACGGTTAACCGAAATGTACATATCCTGTAAAAAAAAAATTGGGTAAACATTTTTCTTTTAATATTTTTGGGAAATAAATACATACATGTTCAAATAAGTGTAGAAACCAAGTCGAATTTGTCAAATGTATTGAACTGGTGATCACAGTTTGAAAGCTATAGGCCTACAGCTTTCATGTGCGATTCACAATCACAATCAGCCCTGCTGTAGAGAAGACCCTCTCAGCTGGAACGGAGGTTGCGGGTATAGCAAGGTATAGCATGTATATATAAGTTTAATTTGGCATAGTTTGACCTCTACACCGCACTCACTAACCTGGTCGAAATATTTCCACACATTACTCCTTTTTGACGCCATGTCTGTTGTGTAGGACTCTTCTTAGAGTGTAAATAATTACCGGACTATGACTGGTAAAATATGTTGAATACCGGCAAAACTAAATCTCTCCAGTCAAAATGTGTATGTAGTTTGCCGCCACACACGGTTGCCAAGCAGCGCTTATTGTTGTTTAGGCTGGCCACTCATGTGTCGTGAGTGGGGGAGCACGCTCATGAACTGTTAGCGCCGGAACCTCGCAACGGCTGCGGAGCGCATTTGCGCCACATTTGGGCCTAAGATGAGGTTTGAGTCTGCGTGATCTGCGTGTAGGGAGGGGAAGCAGCCATATAATTGGCTAGAACTAGCTAGATCTGATGGATTTGGACATAAACACGAGTGAAGTATAACCGGACGCGAGAGAGAGAGACCAGCCCCTGCAGCTCTGCCCGCTGTGAGGGACCGGTGAGCGGAGCAAAACAAACCTTTAGACGTCAACTAACACATTTAGCTATGGCACTGTCGTATATATATACATTGAATTTTTCAATGTGATAATATGTAATCAACTTAGGCATCCCTCCCAAAAAAAAATAAATAAAAAATATTTATAAAAATATTCATAACTCATATTTGAATACATGAATAATTATTCGAATTCCTG